ACACTTTGCTAAATGTTGCCCAACGTTGCTGGTGCCCTTAGGAATAAGAACATTTTTCTCAAACACACACCACTAACACAAAAGGGTTGGGAAAGACACAAAGAGAAATAGGAAGGAAAAGCTGTGTAGACCTTGCTGAATATAATCAAAAATACAGATTATATCTAACATCCATTTCAGATGTGTCACAGTGGAAGTGCTCTAGAGAATGTACTCTTTGCTCTCAGAGGTGTTTCCCTTTGAACAACTGTTGGTTTATGCACACAGATTGTCTTTAACACAGCATTCCTAAACTAGCCAACAACTCAGTCATGAAATTGCCTCAAAACCTAAAGAGAATACATGTCTAGCGTACTTACTTGCTTCATAATTTTGGAAGTTTAAATTACAATCAAAGGAAAACAAACAAGCAAGCTGATGTTGAGTGAAAAGACTTTTCACATGTTAATGAAATGAATAAGAAAAATGTATTCTCCTGTTGTTTTAGTTGTTGAAAGATATCAGTTTTCACAAATCCAAATTATATGATAAAGCTCAAAAGTATCGGAAAAGCTGCTTTGTGGTGAACACAGTATTGTTTTTATTTTGTTTGGGCAAGAAAGAACTAAAATGGTGCTTTGGAAACTGCATTGTCTGTGTTTTATTTCAGAGAAAATACAGAGCACTGTTTGGATTAAACAAATACAGAAATAATACAGATTTTCATGGAAAATAAATTAGTCCTAACAAAATAATTAAATAGAAACTTAAAATTCCTGACTTTATTGTAAAGAAGAGTCTGTTAAAACTCAGTTGTGATTGGAATTGGGCATAATACCTTGTATTTATTTAATTAGGTTATACTATTTTCACACATATATCCTGAGATACACTATGCACTTATGATATTAATCCTTTATGGTTCAGTTGGATGTTCTCTTCACTGGTGTAGGTGGTTGAAGGTTCAAATTCTGTTGGACTGAAAATACTACAGGAGTGTGGTAAAGTTGAGCAAGGCAAAAAATGAAGACAAAGAAAGCAGTAACACTTCTCCAATGAATACATTCACCCCTAAATTACAGGATATTTGAAAGATATCAGGAAAATTTTTTCACCCAGATGGTGGTTGGACACTGGAACAGGCTCCCCAGGGCAGTGGCACAGCACTTAGCATGGTAGAGTTCAAGAAGCATTTAGACAATGCTCTCAGGCACATGGTGTGATTTCTGGGGTGTCCTGTGCAGGGCCAGGAGTTGGACTCGATGATCCTTATGGGTCTCTTCCAACTCAGCATATTCCGATTCCATGATTCTAAGATTTCTTTATTCTGATGAAAGAAAAATGCTCTCCTCAAAAGGTAATGCCTAATCATGAGGGTTGGACGCCTGTTTTGCATCATGTACGTGCCTTACTTTCATCCTTATGAATGTCCTCAGTCTTAGACTAAGATTAGATTTGATCTTAACTGATCAGACTATGTCACAAGAAGTTTCTGGAAAGCCATATAGCAAGTGTGAAAATGTCCTCTCTTCTAAAAATAGGGCCTATGTAAAGTTCAGTTTGAAGTACCATATTAATGATGATTAATAGAACTCTTCAAAATGTTACCTGTAGGCACAGCTTGCTTACCTTATAACAAAGTACTGTGCAGTGGGAAGGAGGGCATCTTGACTCTGTTCAGGGTGCAATGAATAGATCTACACCTGCTTGAGTTACAGTGACATTAATAGTGAACTATGAAAGTGGCTAAGTGTGCTTGTTGCAATGGAGAATGAAACTTTATCCATTTTTGCAAGCCTATATGCAGAATATGGTTCACTGAGTATTTGGGATGAATTTTGTACCTTTGTAGAAGTTGTTATCAAAAACTGGTACGTTCCTGATGTGTAAACCTTGTTGATTTGTTTAGAGCTCTTCATCTTTGGATGAGATTTTACGTTCCAATGAAATATAGAGAAATAGCAGAGAACTGAAGTGAAGCAGCTTCTATTTAAGCTGATTTTTTGAGCTGAAGGGCTTGGCTGAACATTTGTCTTTTCTGAATAAAACCAGTTATAAGACTAAATCCACTTAACTAACCACAGCAAAACTTCTGCCTCTCCTGCCTTCAGTTTGTGGAGGTGAAACGACAAGAGGGATGTGAAACTCGGAGCTGAGGGGATTCCTGGCCACCCATCAAAGCAGCTGCCTGACTCCACTTAGCTGGTTTGTGGCTGGTTTAATCTTTTTAGACTCAATCAGAGCTCCAGAGTTGAGCATCTGTGTCTTAGGGGTGTTTCATACCAATTCCAGTATAGCAGCTATGCTTCTTATTGTCCCTTGAACATTTCACATGGATGGTAGATTCTCCATTTGGAATAAAATTTGGAGGTAGGACTGTAGGTAGCAGTAGGTGCTGGCTGCTCTTTGCAGTCCACTAATTTTCCTCTTGCTGTTCTCCTAGCTTACCAGTAAATTAATGCCCCAAGAGCCCCCGATCACAGCGAAATAGCATTGGAAGTACTTGTTTGTTTATTTTGGTGAAAATATTACACCAGAGATTAAACTTCACAGGAGGACCAGTGATAACCCCATGCAACTCATATAAGTTTTACCACCTGGACCATAGCCTGGCCATTTTTCTATCGGTGATATTAAATGCCATACGTTTCCTTAATAATTCACGTTGCAACAAAGAAGCCTCAAATTAAAGCATGTGTTGTGCTTTACAAACAGCCCCTTGCACATGTGCTGACTTTGCAGCTGCTTCCTGCAGTCTTTGACTTCTGTAATTAGAACAACCGGTCAGCCCAGCTAATGATATTAAACTGACTGGTCTAGAATGTCATTTATCTCAAGGGTTTAATTTGCTGAATACAGGGCAGCACAATACAAGGTTTGCATGTGTGATGGATGTAACTGTATTTTTTTAGCTCTTGTTGCTAAGCTACAATAAACTGTTATCACAGTAAATTGTCTGCATTTAAATGGACTGAGATTCCACCTGAAAGGAGCCACACACATGAAAACAGATAATATACTGGTGTCTCAAAAGAAAGGAAAATAGCACAGAAAAACCCAACTTGTGAACAGGTTAATTTTCTATTCTAGACAGTAACCAGACAGGCTCAAAAATAGCTGTTTAGACCCCAGGCCCCCAGAGACTATGACATGTGCTACAGTAGCAAGTGACTAAGGGCTTGCAAACAATAAATAGCTACTAATTTAAAAGTAAGTAGCATGACTGTTATCAACTGCTTAAAAACCGAATCACAATGATCTGTTGTCTGAACTGTGCTTTAGAATTACTTTCCCTGGAAATAATCTGATAACTTCGCAGTCAGGTGTCATATCTAAATGCTAAGAAAAAAAAGTAGATTATAAAAAAAATGTACTGAAGTCTCTGCAGTTGTCCAAATGGTTAAAAATAAAGCTTTCCACTTTTACAAGTGGAAAAATGTACCATGTTCTGATGGAAATTGATGTAGAATCCATGATGAGACATCAAGCTGTTGTCCTACCTCTTCCTGAAGCTCTGTACCTAAGTCCTGTAAGTTCTCTGAAATAAGAATCTTTTTTCTCCTAATCTATTTTAAAGATTGCATGGATGAGCAGTAACTAAGGGGAGTGTTTACTGGTGCCATGTTGGAGTTCATTCCAAAAATATTCATACTGGGTCAAGAGACTGTGGTCTTGATGACTACCTGGAAGCTCAATGGTGTTTGGTGTCAACTACTGATACCTGTTTGTTCATATCTGTACATGTGATCAATGTGGAACCTGTCATCTTCTTTGAGCAGAGATTCCTTTTCATGGCAATAATGCCAGGGCAGTTTTTTGTGGGTTTAAAAGTCAACTCTTAATAAGCCTATTGCCAGTACACAGCAGGTCTGAACAAATAGAATGTGTAAAGTATTGCAGAAAAATACCATATTATGTATAAGAAACACAGGTAAATTCAGTTACAGTTGTGACACTTTCCACAGTACAGAGAACATGTAAACCAAACCAAATGTCTTCCACTGCAGTTACACCATTAAAGATCCGAAGGCAAGACTGTGAGATTCTGCAGTGTACCCTAGCTAGTCTGTTATTCTGTTTATAGATTTAGAAAAGCATGCTGCTGGATTGATTTTAAAGGTGTCACCCTCTGAAGTAAGCCATTTGGTAAAAAGCACTGGATTGACAGAAATGAAGCTGTAGACATTCAGTGAAAGCTTTTCATTAAAATCACCACTAAAACCCATCAATCCGCCCCAGCAGAAACCTGCTTAGATAACTCTGCTAGAAATACTGTACCTCCTCAGAAAATGGAAGAAGAGCATTTTGCCAGGATTTCAGAATGGGGAGAAGCAGCTTCTCCCTTTACTTTAAATTGCTATGCCAGAGACATTAACTGTCCTTGCAAAAACCCTCCTGCAACGCTGAATTTTTGATTCACAGCAGAAAAAATAGAGAGGAATGCAGACAGAATATGTAGTGCAGCACTGCCTGTGCTTCAACAGACTTGTTCTGGTGGTTTCAGTGAGCACTAGTTTTGAAAAGCCTGAAAATGGATCGTATCTATATGATCCTGTGAGAACCCCTCGGAGAGAGGGGAAACGACAGGGAAGCGTTTCTGTGCACTGTGGAATTCCAACTCATTAAAGTGATGAAACAACTGCTGTGGGAATGAATCCACACGGAGTCCATGACAGACGCCTGGTACGCTACATTCCCAGCAGCAGAACACAAAAGGCTGATCATTTAGCAATATTGAGAAGCTTCTTGTATCCACAGGAGCAGGTGGTAGTACAGCAGTAAAAGTTGCATTAAGGGGACAAAATGCAGTCACTGGGTTGTATTTTGACCTGCTCTCTCTCCCCCCGGGTGCAGCTGGGTGGTACACACAGGGTTAACACCAGAAGGACACACTGATGGCATGTAATACCAGGTGTTCAGACACCCACCGATTTAGTTACAGTGCCAGCTTTTGTACACGGCTTGGCACCCTCAGAGCGTCGGGTGGCATTAGGGTAAAAAAAGACTTTTAAATCTCTTACCTTGGTCTAGTCCAGTGTAGCTTTTTGGTTGTTCTCCGTCCACTATCAGCAAAAGAGAAATTAATGCCAGATTCCAGTGAGTCATCCTAAATGACAGAGTAGGCTCACTCTTCGCACCGGCTGCTGGCTGCCTCCGCTGTGTGACAGCTGCCGGCTGGCTGGGGAACAAGCGTGTCCCATTCTGCAGCCTGCGGCAGGGGGAGAGGGGAAGGCAGCACCGGGGAGAGGAGGTGGGAGAGAAAGCCGGAGAGAAGGACCAAAAGAGAGAGAGGAGAGAGGCAGAGGCAGGAATATACCATGTGGCTGCGTGCTCCCCTTCTCTGCCTGGTGCTCAGCCTCGCAGTGCGCTGCCGAAAAGTTACTTTTTAATATGTGATGCACTCTCCGATTTTAGAGCCTGCCTGCTCCTGTCCTCTTTTCAGTCTGTGCTCGGAGGAACTTCTGGGCATTTCGGCAATTACATTGTCATCTCCCTCTTTTGGAGCCTGGCACGGATGCTGTATGCAGAATGTGCTCAGTAAAGGAAGTCTGTCTGTGGCTGTGTGAGAAGCAGCACTTGGTTTCTTGCAGCAGTTTTATAGGCTGTTTATCTGAGAGTGGGAAACCAAGGGCAAGGGCAGTAATTTTGGCATCAGATGGCAAAGAAATAAAAAAAAAATACGTTGGGAGCCACAAAACTGTACACAAGATAAATTGGGGAGGGACACATTTCGTGGTTACTCCTAACAGAAGAAGGTTGGGATAATTTCTGAGTCTCTGGTTTACCATCTTAGACATGTTGCAGATCAGAAATCAGTGCTAGACAGAACTCTTCCTGGGTATTGCCAAAATAATTCTCAAGAGGCAATAGCAAGCTATTGGAGTGGTTAACATTGCACTAAATGGCAGAGATTTCTCTGGACAAACACTGCTTGTTTCTAATCACCTTAAGTCTCCAAAGTATGTTTTTAATTTCATTACACTCACACCCCTTGTATGCATATGTTTGTTTCTACAAATATTTTTTAGGAAACTAATACACCTTCACAGAAATTGGTGATGGCTGTAAATACTTTAGTGTAGTAGAAGTGGGAGAAGTATTTAGGTTCCCACTCTTTGCTAACTAGTTTATTGAATCTGGAAGGCTTTTGTGGGCTTTTTGAATGCCTTTTATTAAAAAAATTATTTGTAATATTACCTCTGTGGCAAACTGTGTTCAGATGCTCTGAATATTTGTCAAATTCATCTGTGTCTAAAAAGGGGAGTAGTGTTTCATATTTTGTATTTCTGCAACTTGAATGTGAGCGGATGGTCTTAATCCTGACTAACTGACACTTAATTCCCAAAGAAAACAAGAAAAAGAATTGAGAAATAACAGGAGAAAGGTGGAAGAGCTAAAATGCATTCTTGGTTAGAAAACTGAATGTAGGATAGTTTCATGTCCACTCTAAATGATTGCACTAGTTAATTATCCATTAGGTGTTCTGTCTGTGTTTCCCTCTGCCAAGTACAAAACCGTGATTTCTTTTATTCCAGTCTTATTGAATAAGGATGGTCCTGTGAGAATGAAATATGAGCTCTTCAGTATTTTTTAATGTTTGATTTAATTATATATAATTCTGACTTTGCCTAAGGTACAAGGGATTCACCAGCCTTGTAATTCATAATGAAGCAGAACAGCAGCCCATATCCAAGAGCTTAGGAAATGATTCCTTAGGTTGATTGCAGGCAAAATCATACTTAGGTGTTTGGGGTTTTTTACCTGAAAATTTGAACCAACATGGCAACCTTCCTCCCGACACCCCGTATTAATTTCCACATCTAACACTGCATGATGGCATGAATAGCATATACCAGCGAGTCATGCACTGCTGTAGAGTACAAGGAGCTCTCTCCCTCAACCTATGAGTGAGAAGCATGAAGACTATCCACAAGTGTTTAATCTGAGCTTCCTGTGGACCTGAATTCATCAGTGAAAGTAGATCTTTGGTACCACTGGGTAGTGACCGCGGAGAAGTGCATCATGGATAATCAACTGTGTGTAACCTGTCTATCCAGGGTTCATTCATGTCTCTTAGAAGTCAACCAGAACTGTAGGTGAATTCAGGGTTATCTGTGTAACAGACCTCAGCTGGAAAATGGTTGGTAGGAGAAAAGACAAGACTTTGTGCCATGGAGGGCAACTGTTGTTACAAGGAATATTCTTCAGGTACTCTGTGTGGTACTGGAGTCCCTTAAGATCCTGTGCCATTGGGAAGACTCAGTGGAGAAAGACAATGTAGGGACAGGTATCAATGACAGAGGATATAACAAAATTATTAAACAGATTTCTCTGAAGTGACAGGCAGCAGCAGCTGAGGCTGGGCATCCTCCACAGTGGGGTAGGACTGCATAGAGCAATTAAAGTGGCTGTAACTGATATTCATGAATGTTCAGAGAACCATGGACTTGGTAGCTTGTTCTTTAGTACAGTTCATTTTACCTTCACATTGCTAGAAATGTCACTATATTGCCAACTCATGTTCCTGTTATCAAGACATTAGTATTACCATAAAAGTGAACATGTGAATGTTTTAAAAATAGGAAGGACTCACTTGAAATCTTATTTTCCTTCTATAGCCTTGTCCTAGGGGGATACTTCATTAGTTCTTTGCAAATTCCATTCTCCATTGAAATTTGACCCAATGAGAGAGGTTAAGGTAGACCCAGTTTGTCCCCATTTTGGCTGGGAGGATTGCTCCTATTGTTTTTGGATTGTCATTGTATTGTCAATAAATATCTTTGTCAGAGTAGAAATACAGAGTAAATTCCAATTCCAAGTACACTTGTGCAGCTTCATGTTACAAAAGCTGCATGAGGAGAACTCTCTCAGATGTCTATTTATTTAGTTACCTATAAGGTTTTTTTGCAAAAGCACTAGCTGATGACAGGAATGTTATTTTATGGAGAGGTTGTTTGACAACCCGATAGTGGGAGCTGATAGTGAGGATTTGGGTATGCCAGAATAGTGCTTAGGTTACCAGTTGCCAAAATAATTGGAAGTCTTTGCTGCAGAGATAATGAGCAGGTCAAGAATCAAATTAAATCATAAGTCAGAAGCTGGAAATGTTGCTCACAAAAACTTGTAATGCCAGTGCATTGGTCTGTAGCTGCCATAAAGCCCAGGCTGCCCGAGGAAGCTGTGACATCTGTATCACTGTAGTATTCAAAACCAATTCAGGCAAACACAAGAACACAGGAGGGCATCCAGAAAAAAAAGAATGTATTCTTACTCAGAATATGGTTGCTGTTATTTTCTTTCTTTTCTATGTGCAAAATTGTCACTGAATATACAAATAGAATGAGGTCAGAAATGGTCCTTTTTCTTGACTTATTGTTGAATGCAACAAAATCACTTCATTGCAGAATCATCTTAAGTTTTATCTCTTGAGTGTCTGGGTACCTTCCAAGAAATTACCAAAGTCTCTGAAAAGCAGTGGTTTTCCTGAGTTCTGAAGCAATATAACCCATGTGCTTATTTCTTACCCTTCCATATCCAAGTCCTTATTGCTTCTCAATTTCATCCCTTCACACCTCTCTGTCTTTGTTTGAAAATAAAGAGAGAACAAAGCATTTTTTTATTATTATTTTCTGTTTTTCTGCAAAGGCATATGCTTCGGTGTTTAGCTGATGGTAAGAGTCCAACTGAAGTTACACTTAACATTTTGCATTTCAGTCTAGGTGCTGAAAATGTTGTTATTTTAAACTCCAGTAACAAATTCCAAGCATTAGACTTGCTATATCTTCTCTAACAAGCACTATTTTGATGTTAAAGTAATGGAGTTTGAGTTGTGGAAAATAATATAGACTTGAGAGAACCTTTAACCTTGATTGTTAAGGGCAAACTGACTCCAGTGATGATATGCTACATTCAGAAATCATTGACTTACAAAGTACAATTCCAGAGTGCAAAACCATTGCAAAAGTTGTACTTTTTGTCAATACTCAGTTTTCATCCCAAAATATTACATTTTATGTCAGAAAAGTATTTATATTCAAGAATTTGAACTTACTGTGGGTTTTTTTGAATGGCAGTCATTATGTCCATGTGTCTATAAGTATGAAAACCTCTGCTTTTAAAATCAGTTAAATAAATTGTATGAATGAGTACTTTGGCTGTAAAGGTGGCTGCACACAGCTGCCATTAGCTGTGTGTAGATATCTGTGTGTCTGTTTACTTTTTATTATGAGGAATGGCACGGAGAACACAAGACCATGTAAAAAAAAAAGAAAATACATTTTGTCTGTGGATAAATAAGCTGTTATATTAACTAGGGAAAATATTTCATGGTTGCTGAAGCTGATGGAAAAGTTATTTTTCATCCCAATTCCATTTTGTGAAAAGGTGTAAATTTTTAAAAATCACAATTTAGAAAAAAGGCACTGCATTTGGATCCATTTCATTCCTATACCACAGTGCAGCTCGACCTATGTCTGTTTTGGTTTTGTCTGCACTCTCTGAATGCTCCAGTGGTATAGATTTCTCAGTTGCCTCTGTTTTCCTATTGCAGTAGTTCAGTATTTTTGTTGTTAGGAAGTTTGGGGTTGTTTTTTTCCCTGGTGCCTAATGCAATGCTTCACCAAAATAGTCCTGAGAAAATACATTGACTGTCTCTGTTTGTCCTAATCATTGAGAAGGGCACTGATTAATTCCTTTCTTTTTCTGCAGCAGCTTTTTAAGCAGTTGTGTCTGCCCACAGCTCATTTGATGAGGTGGGCAACCCACCTCTGAAAGCATTTGCCTCTCACTGTGTTCTCACATGAAAGGATACTTTAGAAAACAGATGTATGGTCCTTCCTACAGAGTATTCAAGTGAGCTCAATTCTGTAGTGCTGTTATCAGTGAATCAATATCCTTGAGCATCAAGATGATGTCAGGTTTCTGAGGTTTCTGAGGCCTTGACATATAGCATGCACTACTTGATTTTACATGGATGCTGAGCCCTTGAAAAGCAGATTTTATAACAGGTTTTTAATACTGTAGCTTAATTCAGTTGCAGTTTCCATTGTGAAGCAGTGTTTTGGTGTCTGAAGAATTGCCAAGAAAAAATCCCCTTGGTTCAGCTGTTGTGTAAGGACTTGGGCCTTAATTTTATTTTTTCTGTTTCCCTTAAATCGGGACAAAAAATGTTTAGGGCCTTGTTGCTTTTAGAAGAATTTGGCAGTCTAATTAATATGATTATAAAACCAAAACTCTCAACATTTACCTGGAACTGAGAAAGATGCAAAACTATAAGGCTGAAAAATTTTTAACAAAATATTATTTACACCGGAAAATTAGCAGTCCATTCAAATGCTAGGCTAGCACTTCTTTCCTCCTCTTTTTTCACCAGAAATGTGCCCATTTTGGAAATAGTTGAAGTAGTTCATGAAGATGAATGAAAATTCACCTGAGATGGATGATCGATTCAGATCCAGCAAGTCTTTGTGGTTAAGACTCTTCCTGGAAACCAACTTCAAATTTATGCCTTAAATTGAATGACAAAGGGTCCATC